AGGCGTCGTAAATCAGGGTTCCAAAAAGTTATTTAAATTGATAGTTGGCAGCTATCCGATTTTCGGTTTAATGAACCCACGATATCTCAGAAAAGTATCATTGGAATGCCAGTGAGGAGGGATAGCTGAGGATCGATACCACTGTCTTCCATCGTTGTTGTTTGAATAACACTGCCATAACCCGACAGCTGCTCCAGTGGGCAAGCCGGATGTCTAGCTAGCTAACAATGTTGGGATCTTGCCGGAGTAATAAGGACTAAAGCGTCATGTTGTAGTACGCGTAGACGAAGGGCTTGTTTCTGGGTCGAAGGTAATCTTCAGCTGTCTTTATTTCCCTTCGCCGCTGAATCCTAGTGCCCTTATAAGTAGAGTATGTGCTCAGCTTTATGCAAGTCCCTCCTTCTCAGCAGTAAATATCCCACGCTAGCTCCTTTTACCACACACTTGCGTCGACAAACAACATTCAAGCCTCTACACGTCCTGAAGATGGTCATGGTGAATAAAGGGGGATAAATTAATGGACACAACGTCCATCCAGACGCTTGTCCGTTAACAAATATTCGACTCTGCTATATGTCCGATGCTAGGGCGATGAATACTATGGAATAAAAGGTGCCCGAGATTTTAGGAAGGTATTAATAAGCCTGAAAGGACAATTTCCTCAATTCTCACTGCCTTTCCTGGTAATAGCAGGGGTATATATTGAGTGGAAGTGATAATCCACCAATCTGATTATGCAGTAACCCTTTTAAGGAAACCTGCAGCAACACTATGCAACCCTGTATGGTATCCCAGCGCATCTAGCCACCCCACGAAACTGATAGGCTCTATCTGATTTACTGCGATCTGTGCAGTGCAATATCTTCTTTCGATTATAGGTGAACATATGGGACTTTGAAACCACAGTGGACCCCGAGTTCCAACTCTTCATTTCAACACAGCTCTCGAATCCAGTATACAGTCCGGAGCTGTTGGCGAGTGCTGCGCTGATTGACTTCAACGTCACTGTCAAAGGGCTTGAGGACCAACTTTTGGCGCGAGTGATAACTCTGGAACGCGAAGTAAGTTTGCAGTAATATATGATAGAAAAACCGACTAGTAACTAATATATGGAAGATAATTTAATAAGCACGCCGATAAAGCGGAATGTTAGCTGCAGGTTGCGAAAAATGACCTGCAATCCTTGACTAATTTAGCAATGTAATACAGTTGTACTTATTTGTATTCAGTAGCGTTACTTGAATCAGCTGACGAAAGACACAGGTACACTGTCGTGAGCACTGTCATGATCATTTTTCTTCGCCAAGTGTCATTGCTGTTGTCCAGCAGCAAAAGGTGGGGACGGGACCGGTTTGCGCATTTTGTGGAGAAATTGCGCTCTGAAAAAGACGATGCGATCCCTAGAACATGACGTTTATTGGCCTGACATCGCCGAGTCATCATCACACCAAGAAGCGAGGGATGGGATATAATTTCGACAATCGACGATTCGGCCGTGGACTAACGAGCAATCATCGCGTAATGTATGACCAACAGTGATGACTGCGGGATATGCCTCTTGGAGTAGGCACGTGGCAGCATGCCTGCTGCCCTCCTCAACCTTACCCACGATTGTGTCTGATGATGGGTTTGAACGAGAATCCGAAACGTCAGGCCAATAAACGGTATGTTCCAGTGATCGCATCCTCTTCTTCTGAACTCTTTCCTGGAACTCGCCTCTTGCACTCTGCTATCAGAACACAGAACACACTGCTACACAAAACGAGCAGTACGTGCGAGTGTTGCGGGTCACAAAAATATTTTCCGTTGCCGTTTGTACTCTAATACATGTCGATTAAAGAGGAAGAGGACACTCGTTGTCAAGTCTCTTGATTATCATTTATAAACCACCGACATCTACTTTTGTACTGCCTCTGGAATTAGAAGATAAGCAACTAGTCTATGATTGATTGATTCGGAAAGTTAGGATGATAGTCAATGTCCTTGTAGGTGATTGGATGCTATTTATAATTAATGTTTGAAAACGTTTGATCAAGCATAAATCTCTCGAAAAACCCACCAGCCATAGGTTTTGGCGCGATGACTGCCGGCTGACCATTTAACATGTATCTTTGTTGTCCCCTTCCACATGAAAGAAATTAGAACGGTCTCGTGTCGAACTGTTGACTAACATGGTCGCGAATAAGAAGAAGGTCGAGCAACTTGAGATCAATCTCCTGTTCCGCCTAAAGAACAGCCAGGGTTCTCTGGTGGATGACCTGGGTCTGCTTGAAGTGCTGCAGAACACGAAAAAGACTGCTGAAGCGGTGATGATACAGCTGGCTCAAGCTGCCGAGACGGAGGCCGAGATAAACAAGGCGCGCGAGGAATATCGCCCGGTAGCCGAGCGTGGAGCCCTAATCTACTTCCTCATCCAGGACATGGCCACAATCAACATCATGTATGAGTCTGGATTGCGTCAATTCCTCAAACTCTTTGACGACTCATTAATCAGTTCAGAGAAGTCTCCGGTTACGCAGCGGCGTATAGCAAAGATTCTGAAGTTTATGCTGATGCGTCTGTGGAAATTCTTCACCCGAGGCCTCTATAAGAAGGACACGGTGATGTTCACTCTGACACTAGCGATCCGGATCGGTTTGCAGTTGAATCATGTACGCAAGGAGGAGGTGGATGTGCTGCTCAAGGGCGGATCTGCACTCAGCATCCAGACATGTCCACCCAAGCCGGCCAGGTGGATTCCAGACAATGTATGGCTAAATGTGAACGCCATAAGCAAACTGAGGTCGTTTAATGGCATCGTTGATCAGGTGAGTACTCATAGCGAAGGACGGCACGCTGTTGAGAAGGGTCTTCTGACCGTTTCTCAAGTTCTTAACTTTTACCATCTTTCCATTGCCTACTTTGGCCTAAACTGCCAGATTTCCACAAAAAATATCGACAAGAGTTAAGGCTAAGAAGGTTCACCCTAACAGCTGCGATTTTCCAGGCCCATGGTTCCTTTAGGTGAGGAGAGAAGACTGTAGCAAAGCCAGGTTGTTAGGAAAAGGGCATTCTGCACAGAA